TTCGTACCGCCTAACAGTCGATCTATTAACTTTTTTTTAACACTTATTCCGCCATTCGGGACACTGGGTCAGCTAGTAAGATAAAAAAAGAAAAAAGAAAGTTGATAAGTCAAGAATTACATTATGTCAAAAAATAAAAATTATAATTGTTTTGCCTTTCCGGAACCCCTCCACTAATACTTAAACTTTATGGTATGGTATTAAAGTTCAAATTGACTTTTAAGTATTTACGATCTTTTGTATGGAAATATAGAAAAGTGTTGTTTTTATAATTTTTCAGGCAATTTTTTAAATTTTTCTCTGCGTAAGAGCCATCTCCGTACTTCAACGAATATTATAAAAAAAAAGAATTAACGAAATCAGTTCAGCTGCTCTCGAGATTTGCGCTTAGCAACACTTCAGCGATTCATTTTTATATTATAGATTACATCTTTGAATCATAAAGCCGGCCTATTGCCACTTATCTTACTGATTTGTCTGTAATATCCTGGTCTATAGAAACCAAATAAGTGATCGCAGTAATGAAAAGGCTGGTTCAGAGCCTCTTGAAACTGTCGGGCGAGCACAGTGTGACATACCACGAACTCCGTCAGCTAATAGTGATGCAGCCAGTCGAGTCCACCTTTTTCAGTTCGGGGTACTTCGTACCGCTTCAGCTACATCACCCGGCGTTATGATGACGGAGTCCATGGGCGTAATATTCGCACATTGACCCACCACAACTTCCGTAGAAGGGCCCACGCTTTGGTTTACGGACTGACCACAGGCCGAATACGACAGTATCGGCCTGATTTGGTGCTGGGTCCGTTCCACGTAATATTGGTAGCTCCAGTGACTTACCGAGCCTCTTCTGATCACTTTCTTGTTGAACCGCCTCGACCTCTCAGTGTATCGCCTAATCCGCTTCCCCCAAGCAGCAATGTTTTGCTTCAGATTGTCTATGCACTTCCGGCTGAGACAAACTGATATGTACGCACAACTATCGTTCTATTATTACCCGACCTGAAGCTTGTCAGTCTGTCGATGAGGGTTCTTGCCTTTGCGATATGGTTCTCTATACTTTTTCTCCAGTTTCGGATAGCTCTACTTTAACCAACTCTGGGAAGCTTGGCCAATGATACGGCAAACTGTCAGTGTGGCGCCAAAAAGAATTGAGTCCGTCTCACAGAGGTCCCGGCTGGCTTCCAAACAGGTCACCAGCATTGGGTTTAGAGCCCCCACGACAGCACCATTCTGCTTGCTTAGGGTTATGCGGGGAAGTCACGGTCGATTTTTGAGAGGTGTACTGCGCGTTCCCTTAATCGCCTCTTCCAATATACTCCTCATTTGCTTAAGTTCTAGTTCCTTGGAGACTGTTTCATCATCCTCTGAATCAACAATAACTGCGACATCCACGTGTGCTGGTTGCTCTGCAACTTGTAGCGCCGCACCCCTGCCGTAATACTTTCATCCGATAATGGCACAGTCTCACGTTGTAGCCGTTCGTGTTCGAGTCCGCCAGGTTTTGCGCGGTGACGGTTATAGATAGCTTTAGCTCAGCAATAAAGCGATGCATCCTAGCCCAGTACGCAAAACCTCCAATTTCTCCCCCTTTTACCCTAAAATACGCTCGCAATGCGTTCGAGTTCATGGCTTTCGTCTAACCTATGTAGCGCACACCACCATCGGTTGGTGCCCCTTGCCGAGTCCTAGAGGAACCTGCCGCTGCCAAGTCATCTGGTAAGTATGATGGATGGCGAGGTGCCACTGGGCGGTCGTGCAGCACCTCGCGCTGGACTGTCGGCACGCATGCTGTCACGTTCAACGCCAGCTCCAGACGCTCTCTGGCGACCTCCAGGCAGCCTACCCCTACCCTATGAGCATTCCTTTATGTACCATCATCCATTTCATGGGCGTCAATTATCAGGAGACGCCTAGACCCGGCACTGTTTCATGGTTCGGCCATATGCACAAGCCTTTGCACCTTCAATTTTGCCGAGGCACGGTGATAATACCATGGAAAGGTGCTAACTGACGTCAGCGGGTGATGATCGTCACTTCCCTACGCTTTGTTATTGGTATTATTATTTTTAAATACTCGTACTTTGTAATTGTAGTAGGTTAGGTGGCTTTAGTTATTATAATTTTTTAATTTCTTTTGTTTCTTGTATTTAATTGTATTTGTATTGTAGGTGGTGATGGTTCATAATAAAATATAGTTTTAAGAGCGTATAGTCGCCAAAAACTTATTGCGTGACATTTTTAACAATAAACATATCTTTGTGTGAATAAATAAATTTTAATAATTTAAAATTTCCTTAATTATTAAGGATAACTCAAAAACTATTGGTCAAACCTTGACCAAATTTATATGGGATCACATTGAAAGCACTGGCTTTCAAATGAAAAAAGAGTCAACAAAATCGATTTACTCAGAAAAAAGTTATGAAGTTTTAACACACATTAAAATAAAACATACAGTGGAATTGAATACCGTCTCCTTTTTGAAGTCGGTAGAAAAAGAGACCCATACTACTGGTAACGAAGAATTCTATTTTATCCTTAGGATGACAACATCTACCTTTTGATTCCAAAACGAAGATAGATGAATGTGCCTATGGGCCGCAGCATCTACTTATCATCAGGTGGACTGTATGCTCGTTTGTTTCCCATATTCTATAAAAAATGCTACGGTCATAGATTAATGATAAGTCACCTCAGTCACTTATCATTAATCTATGGCTAAGGTATTCTTAAAGAATAAAAAACAACAACTTAAATGGGACGTTTAATGTGAGGGTAGAACCGAATTCCACTCACACGCATTGTTTGATGTTGTACTTAATATGCATGAAAACACGTGAAAGCAATTTACTTAAAATTGCTCGCCTCTTACGTAAAAAAATATTTTAGTATTTCAGGTATTCAGCGGAATCGCGAAACATTAAATATTCATAGAGATTAAGTTAAAATACTCTATGCAAAAAGCGAGCCGCTTTCCACGACTAGATACAGCCAAGCGTACCACAAATCCCGGCTTTGGATAATTAGTTCGGTTCTCTTTTGATTAACTTTGATACTCGTTAAATTTACTTACAAGGTGGTTGTGAATTAGTTTAATTGAGATTAGAATTTCAAATCTCTTGCTTTAAATTTCATCATGTGATTGTATTCGCAACATCTTTAGGTAGTTTATAAAGTTACCAAACACTTACAACCTAACTCATAAAATTGAGGTCAATTTAAAAAATGCTTAAAGTTGCTCTCTCTTTCTCTCTCTCTCTCTCTCTTTAATAAACTATAATAGAAAGATACAGGTATATAGACAATTAATAGTTTATTTATGAAAGCGATAAACAAAGGATAAAAGTAAAGCTGTTAGTATTTATATTATTATATATTTATATATTCGCCGATGGTTACCAACCCGTCTGCCAAGCGTGGCAACTATGGCAAAATCTCCCTCCCCTATGATGAATTCAATGAGGGAGGTTTATCTTAAGCATTGAACTTATGATAATGTAATGCTATAATGATGAATACTTACTTTCTTACTTCTTACTCTTTTTAAAAACCGCGAGTACAGTGATATACGCCTTGTAATAAGGCGAAAGAAAATCCACCACCTCATGTTATCACCCCCTGAGTGTCGTAGAGATGACAAAGGGAAATGAAATAAGATAATCGTAGCAGCATGTGCCTGACAAGTACTAAAAATAATAAAAAAATTGCGGATACGAACCGCATTGCCAAGTGTAGCAAATAGTGTAGACTTATGTTCTGGTTGACTTTTGCAAGGTTGTAATGATGCTTTTGATGAATCTATCTATGTTTAAAAACCCATTGCCATGGGAGTTGCTTCTAATAAGAGTCGCCAATCTATCAACCCCATCAGTGTCCTTCCAGAAACGACGTTAGTTCTAGTATGTATAATAACGAATAATGGTATGAGTAAATATAATATGACAATAAAAGACATCAACATATAGAAATAAACAACTATTTATTACTGCAGCATTATTATTAATACAATACGTGGAAGAGCCACGCTGCAGCCATATTATGGTTGAAGCACAGAATATAATACAAGCGTAAAAAAGAAGCTTCATTCTGCTGTGTTTTCTCTTATGGTGTAAGTGTAGAGAATCAGAGAACCTTTTCTGCCGACTTTAAAAAGCAGACGGTACTCAATACGACTGTATGTTTTTTTAAGTGTGTTACCTCATAACTTTTTACTAAGTAAATAAATTTCGATGATAATTTTTTTATTCGAGAGCTGGTACTTCACATGTGGTCTCTTATGAATTTGATCAAGGTCAGACCAATAGCTTTTGAGTTATTCTTAATAATTTATATTGAAGTCGGCTGTACAAAATGATTACGGAAAACGCTGCATTTCGTCTTCTACCTTGTCATCAGGGATGACAAAGCATCTGCACTTTGTTTTTTAATCAAGGATGGATGTAGATGTCTATGGGCCACAGACCCACTTACCATCAAATCGACTGTGCGCTAGCTTGTCATCCTCATTTTATAAAAAAAATATTAATATCGACCAAACAATCAAGAAATGGCGTGTTGTGCTTTAAGGTCGGCACAGCACATGTCGGCACCATAGCAACGCCGTCAACACAACAAGATGTCGTCTAATAATATTGTAAAATGCAATCAGTGTAATTTAGTAGTGAGTAATATATTAGCTTTTGTTCAGAATAAAGTAGACGTTATGAATGAGGAAAGTTTAGTGCGTATATGTATGACTTATCTTTTTCTGCGGAAGAAATTGAAAATGCAAAGAGATTACTATTAGAATCAGTGCCTACCTCAAAGAAAAAGATAAATCGAAAGAAGAATGGCCGCTCGAAGAGAGATTTATTTGATGTTGTAAATCTTTTTAAAGAGACTGATCCGGATTTAATTCCTACTTTTGTTGCAAGAGACTTACAGAAACTACCTCCTGTCGATTTTGACCATATTGATCCGACAAAACTGTTAAAAGATTTGATTGTCACGCAAATGAGTTGAGGACAATAAAGCAATCGTATGTAACTGAAGAAAAGTTAAATGAAGTTAAAGATGAGCTTACTAATTTGAAAAATGCATCTTTCATGAATAATAACTTTGACTGTCATGTTAATAGAAAGAGAGGTGGAAGCATATTATCATATAGTTATTTTTTGGATAGCGGGCCTGCCGGTCTATCACCCATTTCGGATGAGGAGAAAAATACAACGCATAGTCAAGTCGAGCGTAATGAGTGCCTGTCGAGAGCTACTTGTGTCGATGCGAGGGAACTAGCGGAGCCCCCCTCGCATGAACACGCATCCGCCCTGGAGACCCCCACCCCGATCGACCAAGCGCAAGTGACTAAGTACATGGAAGAGGCTAGCAATACTGTTTTAAGCGTGAGCATACGATCGACTACGCTAGCGCCTGAGTCAGTGATTCGAGCGGATGGCGTTACAGATACGCATCATCAAGTGATGTCTACGCTAACAGGCGCTGCTAATACTTTTGCTAATACCTTTGCGTATGTAATAAATACAGGGAAGCAATGGAAAGCTGAGAAGCCGAAAGAGCAGTGGGTGTTAGTTCAACAAAAGAAATTTAAAAATCACTATAACACATTGGAAGGCAAAGCGCGAAATATAGGTAACGAAAAGTTTAAAGTTGCATCTATACAGGTACCACTGTTTATCAATAATGTTGACCAAAGTACATCAGAGAGGGATATTGTTGATTAAATATTAGAAAAGACTCATGTTCGTGTCACTTTGCAAAAGATTAAACCGAAGTTGCAGAGGCAGTACAGTTGTTATAAGATGCAAGTACCTAGTACCAAGCTCTCGCTGTTTCTGGAAGAAACTTTATGGCCTGAGGGTATAACGGTCAGAAAGTTTTTTGAATTTAAGAACAAAGTAAATGGATTGTAGAAAAGACAAGAGAATAAATCAAACTAAGTTTGTGATTTTTAACTGCTATTCAGTTAAGAGCTCCGTCGAATACGTTCGAACATTGTGTCGATCGGCAGACTTTTTAGCCTTACAAGAAACATGGCTATTACCGGACGACATTCCATACTTAAGGGAAATAGATCAGCATTTTGTGTATACTGGGAAATCTTCTGTGGATACTACATCGGGTATGCTGAAGGGCAGACCGTATGGCGGCGTGGCTCTTTTTTGGCGTAAAAGTATTTTCCCATCGATTTCGGTCGTTAGACTGTGATAGTGAGCGTATAATGGCTGTAAAGGTAATGTTAGATGATCGTGAATTATTGGTGATGTCGGTGTATATGCCAACGGATAGACCTGACAATTTTGATGCATTTGTAAATTGCCTCGGTGAGATTAGTGCTATCATAGAGACGTGTAGTAAAGATACAGTGTACATACGAGGCGATTTTAACGCTGATCCAGGCTCTTTGTTTGGCGACGAGCTTTTGAAGTTCTGTTGTGAACAAAGGTGGACTTGTGCAGACTTAGAATGTTTGGGTAGGATTCAGGTACATATACTTTCCTTAGTAATGCTTATGGTACTACGTCATGGTTGAATCATGTAAGCACTACTGAAGTCGCAAATGATACTATTCTGGGTGCAAATATACGATATGAGGTGTTATGTTCCGATCATTTCGCAGTCGAATTGTTATGAGACCTTAATATTTGGTACCTAAAGTACAATTAAGAGCCTCAGTGCCGGATAGAGCTGTCTGGGGTGAAAGATATAGAGAGTAGGTAGATAGGTATCTACACATCTGCTCAGCTATGTGTAGATACCTATCTACTTGTATGATGTCGATTTTCCTTGTGACTTTCAAGATTGCGCAGATAGAATGTGTGATAATATAGAACATTGAAAAATTATTAATAAACTTTATTATAATGTAGTAAGCGTACTCAGAGAAGCTGCAGTAGAATGTTCTAAACAATGTATAATTATAAACAAGAAGAAAAGGTATGTGACAGGCTGGAACAAACACTGCAAAAAGGCACATGAGGAGGCTAGGCTTCGGTTCCATGAGTGAGTCGCTCAAGGTAAAACTACATCTGGTCAAGTATATGAACAAATGCGAGACTTGCGAAGTTTATTTAAATGCCGGGTCAAGTAGTGTAAGAATAATAAAACTCAGATAAAAGTGGACATTCTTGCATCACAACATGCCACAAAAGACTTTATTAAATTTTGGAAGGAGACCAATAAGTTGAATCCAAAGCTGAGTGTTCCAGTGAGTATAGAGGGGGTTAGTGACGCCAAGCAAGTTGCCAATTTATTCAGGGAGCATTTCAGGGTGCATTCTACATTGGGATCTATGAAGACCGCGACAGAGATAGGAGATACTTGTTTGGTGAAACCGGTTGTTCGATTCACTGCGAAACAGGTTGCTCAGGTAGTGAGAAACATGAAGCGAGGAAAATCCCCTGGCCATGACTTACTCAGCATAGAACACTTACAGAATGCAGGTGACCATATGTCGAGAGTGCTCGCCATGTTGTTTACTTTCTGCATGAGCCATTTTTACCTGCCTGAAGCTATGATGTAAACGGTAGTTGTTCCTATAATAAAGAACAAGACGGGGGACGCGTCCAAATTAAGTAATTACAGGCCTATTTCACTCGCAACAGTCATTGCTAAGGTGCTGGATGGTCTCATTGATATTCAATTAAGACAACATCTACAGTTCCATGATGCACAGTTTGAATTTCGCCCCGGTTTATCAACCGAAATGGCTATATTGAATCTCAAGCATACCGTCCAGTTACACTGACAGAAGCACACCTGTCTATGCCTGCTTCTTGGATCTATCTAAAGTATTTGACTTAGTCGCATATGACAGGTTATGGCAAAAGTTGTTGAGTGATACGGACCTTCCCTCTGAGTATATAAGCCTCCTGAAGTACTGGTATGGGAATCAGCGCAATTTTGTGCGGTGGTCGGGGTCACTATTAGACGAGTACAGATTGGAGTGTGGTGTAAGGCAAGGCGGGTTAACATCGCCGAACCTCTTCAACCTGTACATTGACGGTCTGATCCGTGAGCTTAGCGGCGCTGGTGTTGGATGTTCGATTGATGGCGTTCTTGTCAACAATATCAGTTATGCAGACGATATGGTGCTGCTGAGTCCATCGATCAGCGCCCTTCGAAAATCAATTTCGATCTGCGAGCCTTATGCGGAGGCCCATGCGTTGAGATACAACGCCATCAAAAGCGAGCTCATGGTGTTTAAGGCAGGATCAAAAACTTACACTGTCCCACCAGTCACGCTAAATGGCAGTTTCCTGAAAAAAGTCTCGCAGTTCAAATATTTGGGCAACTGGCTCACTGAGACGCTTTTAGACGATATTGATATAGATATCGGATATAGGAGCGTAGGGCGTTGTCTGTTCGGGCAAATATTTTAGCACGTAGGTTTGCGCGCTGTACTGCAGAAGTAAAGGCTCCGTTGTGCAGATCATTCTGCCAATCATTTTACACGTGCAGCCTATGGGTCATCAAGTATAAAAAAAATCTTACGACGCCCTACGCATTCTATACAGTAACGCCTTCAGAGCACTGATGAAGCTGCGACGCTACTGTAGCACATCGGGAATGTTTGTGGATGCAAATATAGACGGATTCGCAACGATCATTCGGAAGAGAGTAGCGTCCCTGATGCGCCGCATATGGGGCGGCTCAAATGGCTACATGCAGCTGTTTGCCTGGCGGATGGATCTTGCCCTATAATGCGACACTGGACCAGGCTAAGCAGAGCACTCCGGATCTAAACCTAAATTTAGATTACGTTAGAGCTGTGTATCTGTTTTGTTGTGTTTGTGCATTTTATTTGAATTTAAGTAATTGTAATAATAATTTAATTTTAATGATTTTTTTTAATGTAATTCATATAAAATTGACGTCAAAACTTAGATTTAATATTTTAATTTCGATGTGTATTTATGAATATGGACTAGTTCTGAAATAAATGATTTTTAATTTTAATTTTAATTTTTTTTTTAAGTTGCTCGTTACTGTTTGGACATTAAAATTTCCGAGTTGTTTAATTGTAAGTCAATGGCGTATCGTTAATGTGTATATATTAATGCATATGTTACATTATAATTATTATAATAAAATAATTTTTATACCCTTTGAACAAAAGCATAAAATTGTGTATTACCACTAAATACTTAATTTTAGAAGAAATAAAAATTATTTCATTATTAATATTGGAATTTTAAATATTTGGACTATATTCTATTTAATTTATTTCATTTCTCCTGTAGTGGATGTGAGCTATAGTGTAGTGTAACTTAGGGGCTAGGCGCTCGACGAAGATTTCACAGTACGCGAGGAACGCAGATTCAATTCCAGCCCCCGTGCAAGATTTCTGGTAACCCGCCGACCACTACGCTTTTTTAAAGGAAAATCCTCTTCTTTATACGTGAAAGAGTTACACTGCAGCTATATTCTGGTTGTAGCACGAATGGGATGGCTGGACCGGGGAAGGACCACACTCTCACAGAATATCAGCGTAAAGTAGCAGCTAATGCTGCTTTGTTTCATATAGTGAGTGAAGAGAACCAGAAATCCTTTTTACTGGAAACGTATCCATCTTAGTCATTAGGTGGAATGTGTGCTCGTTTGTCACCCCAATTCTATAATAAAATCCAACCTACTGCCGGAAATACCCATGTTCAGCCCTGGACTTTTACGGGTTGATGATGATGATATAATTATAGCGCGTATATTTTGTTGGCAATTCTTTTCATTTGTATCGTTACCTTTACAGTCTATCAATGCCCACTGCTGATCATAGGCCTCCCCCATAGATTGCCTTATATAGAGGGCATAATTTTCAATATATATATAGAGTTTCTTATTTTAAATCGTTATTAGGAAGACGCTGCTGCCCATCGCTTGATTTTTTTCCCTTTGTCGCCTATTACGACACCCACGGGATGATATGGGTTAGTGGATATTCTTACACCGCCACTACACGGAATTTTTTGTTTGTAATATATTGAAAAAATGAATTAAGTAGTTTTCCCCGAATATCACGCGATCAAAGGTTGTGATCCCTTAGTTTTAAGATTTAAAGTTGTCTATAGACTCTTGTTACATGATGCAGAAAATTTCAAAGAAAATCGATAAAACAAAGGAGTAGAATCGGTTGCCAGCATCTATCTTTTCATCCGATTACTAGATGTGTTCAAGGCAAGAGTGAATAGGTTTTGTTGTTAAGTCAATGCGCTTCACCGTCTTCGGCTGCATCACCACTTACCATCAGGTGGTTGGCAGTTTAGTTCTAGCTTCAAATAATAAAGGAACATACCAAGATTATTTCTGTCACTTTTTCAGAGACTAATTCACGTAGATTTTTAACTATTTATAAGCCACTGTTGTACTACTAATCCACCAGATAGAAAGTGATTCATAAATTCTTGATTACTATGTATCCTTATTATTCAAAAGTAAAGTAAATTTTACTAAAACTATTCTCTTCCCATACGTCATTCAACAAACACTCACTTATTAGCCATTAACATAAACGTGCCGACACATTACAAGAGAAGCTTTAATACCAACTTAACGAAGTCCTTAACACAACTACGCGCATAATTTTCCTAAAGAAATTATCCTGCATCAAACTTATGCGTCAATTTTAAACTTGTGTTACATTTTACATAGAAAAAAAGATGCGTGAGTTTCGTGGAACACTCGGTGGGAACGAAGTTCCTTACATAGTATATTATTGTTGATAAACGTAAGTATTATATTATTGATTAACATAACAAATACAAATAAATGAATTACTAGCGTATATTAAAATGAAGCATCATTTGAAATAAAATAATATTTCTTTCATGACAAGATAAGAAAAAGTGCGTGGGAGATGGATATTATTTCATCTCACTTCCTTATTTCGCCTCCAAGGCCGTCTACACTATAACAC